ATAATTTACGATATTTCATGACAACATTATTCCCTAAAAAATTATAGTAACTATGAATTACACTATATTTAATTCTATTTACATCAATGTAAATTGATAGTAAGTACTACCTACAATAAACTACGACATTTGTTTCTCAAAGAAAAGAATCCTAAGTGACTTTTTTAGCTATACTGGTATTAATTTTTAATATTCTTTCTAAAAATATAATTTAGTTCATAATTGTCTACCTACATGCCGAGTTTGGTTCTTGAACAACATAAATTGACTAAGTGAGCATCAAAAAACTACTTACTCATCTTAAAATTGCTGTACTGGAAAGTTCATAAAGTGCAGTTACGATATTATACGTAGGAGGTGTCGAAATGTTATTTATCTTTATTAGTATAATATTTTTTACTTATATTTCTAATATATATTACATTTTGAATGTTTCACCACTGAATACTAAGATAGAATGCCTCTTTTCCAGTAAAAAGTGTCAAAGTTAATCCATGCATGTGCACTGTAATTCTAAAAACTAATCAGTTCTAACGACAACAATAGAAAATAGTACATTTACAAAAGTGGTGCATTATTTTGGTCAGTATAAAATTAATGGTTGATAGATATCTACGTAAATAATACCTAAAAATATAAAACATGCTTAATTAATGTCTTTCACATTAATTAAGCATGTTTTATAAAAGGTTTAAACAACAAATGCTAATTTATTTAAATTTGTTATGGTATCATAAACACAATATTTCTTTAATGTTTTTTTTTGGTTTCTTAAACTAAAATATGCGTGGAATGTTTTTCTGATTATGAAGATGATTGGAAATTAATTTGTTTGAGTACTGTACACTATTAGCAATTAATTGAAAAAAGTGGGATGTACTGTTAAAACCTTAGAAATTCAATATAAAAAATTGGTTGACCCTGTAGGCCTTCCCTGAAACTTTCCGCTAATTTCAAATGCAAAACGATCCAAATTTTATCAAATTATGTTGCTAAATCTCGAATATATGTTAAGAAATAAAAAAGTTTCTTTCAAATTCTTTCTCCTTGATATCTTACGAACGAATGAACCGATTTTTATTTTCCAAACGGCTTTCGACGTCATTTTTTGAGGTTAAGAGCTGATTAGTTTTTGAAATCGATCGGTCAAACTGTTTAAAAGTTATTCAAAAAAAAAGTTTTTAATTTTTTTTTATTTTGGAGTTTTCTCCAAATCTACTCGTGTTTTCTTTAAAATAACGCAAACCGCATGTAATTCGATCAAGACGTTCAAAAGTAATTAAAGACTTACACACATACACACACACACACACACACACACACACACACACACACACACACACACACACACACACACACACACACACACACACACACACACACACATCTCGATTTTCGAAAATCGGGGTGAAATCAATAACTTCCTTATTTTTGAAAATTTTCAATTTTGAAACACAGCAGCATTAAGCTACTATTTCACGCTGGTATTCTGTAAGAGCGTGGTCGTTCCCCGGTCGAGCCGATCCATTCGCGCTACAATTATACTACAAATATAACTGCAGCATGGTTCTACCACGTATAAAAGTTCCACATCTTTCTTAGATTAGTTCCTCTTGCGTAGATCTGATCCAATATCAAAATTAAATCAATGGAAGGTACCTGTGGTTGACTAAGACATTGGGAAGTGTGACCGTGACCATGAGTGCTGTAAGGTACTCAAACGTCAGAAATACAAAATAAGTTAATAAAAACGTGATAAAGTCCGTAAAAAAAAAGTTCCATTTTTTTAGTTTATTTGTTTCCAGCATGGTTTTTGTAGCCTGGGGATGGGGACAAAAAATTTATCTCCAGATTATATCCCTTACAAGAGATAGAATTATCTTGTCCTTATGCCATTGCACGGCAACAGGGGAAAGGAGAAATCTATCCCTGTTTGACATAATGAGTAGACATGCATCCCTCGTACGTAGCATAGGGCCAAATGAAAGAGAAAAAGTTATGCTTTTTTTAATACTTGAAAGGGCAAGTTTTTTTATTAAAGAATATTAGTAAAATATTTCTGACTAATATTCCCTTATCCCCCTGAAATATAGATAATGCTTGTGCTAAAAATATGTGCCACAATAGTCTCATCTGTACTCCCTAAAAATATTGTCATCTTAGTTAAAGATCATTAATTTGTAGTCCACCCCTTAACGATTGAGCTATTGTAACTTCATGATTTAATATTTCGGGTTGTGGATGTTGCGTGCCGCATCATTAACACAAATGAACGATAACCAAGGCGAGTTCAACTCCAAAGTGAAATCAGAAATTAAATGTATGTATGTCTATACCATCTTTTAGGTATAAACTTTTAAATAAAAGTTTACAAACTTTGTAAAGTTACAATTCAAAATTTTTAATTGAGAAATATGTTATTTATTTAGCAAAGTTTGTTAAATATTTAAGAGGCTTATTGACGTAATATTAGGGATTCAAAAAACACAAGGCTCATGAACATACAATTATTAATTTTTTTTGTTTGAAATTATTTAATTTTCATTATTTATGTTTCTTCCTGTTCAATTAAAATTTAAATCTTTATAAACATTCGAAAAGACAATAATCAGGCATTACTAGGTACCTATATTAAAATACAGCATTAACATTACATTTATACACACAATATTTTACAGAAGACTCGGGGTTGGCTGATGACACCACATTAGCTGCACCAAATAGTTCTGCAGAAAAATAAACCCACCAACTAGCATTTTCAAGAGAGAAACTGTGTGGAAAGAACAAATGGGTACCTCAAAGACGCACTCCGAAGCCTAGACATTCATATGGTACTGTACTGCAGTTCAGAGAAAGCTTCACAACTAATACATGCTTAAGCAACACTTTGCAATATCATGCTATATTAAAGGTGTGTTTTGTAAATCAAAAATAACTAAAGGACAACTCATCACATCTATGAATCAAACCAGGCTATTGACCATTGCCCGACAAAGAAGAGAAGATTAATAAATACACACTTCAACTAAAATTTATTTGTATGATTACCTTTTCATACTTTTGGGTTTGTATCATTCTGTGTACGACTGTATGTGTAGTGAGCTAAAATTGAGGAAATACGACAAAGGAATTCTTTTTTATTATTTTCCATGGAAACCTGTGTATTTTAAGGGTTAAACTGAACTATGTTGAGTTGCCCCAATTCTTAAACTTTGTTCAACAAAAACTGGACTTCAGGCCTAAGATTTTTCCGGCACCCGACGACGTGTTACCAAGAAATATATGTGTTATATATAGCATGGTCTGTTTATATTAATGCATGCATTAAAATGAACGTTGCTAGTATGCAACATATGATTGATATTCAAATAGAACAGGGTAGACAATATCATGTAGCATTGTGAAACGCTAGCATTGGCACTGACTTAGATTAACGTATCGACACATGTTATAACTGATCCTATGACTGTTGTACCGTCCCGTGCATGGGGCTTTGTACGTGTACTTTCTTTCCTTTATCTATCTATAGAACTTAAAAAGGCATCGTCCATTGTAGGGCGAATTCGACTGAATCGTTGCCTTGCTAGTCGGATTGATGATTGTAGTAACAGACGTCGTACGAATACTAGAATTGCAACTAAAATTATTAAATATTCCTTTTAACCATTCCTGTTAAGCTTAAAGTGCATGTGTTAGGAGAAATCAAATGCCTTACTTGGGCCCACATACATTGAGTTGTAGTTCTATTAGCTCTATTAAATTCATATTTAAAAAAATATGGTTAAGTTATATATGTTCAATAATACATAATTCCACTGGGTTTCTTGCTAGTTTTCCCATGACAGATGTAGTTTTCAAACCAGTAGTAATTAAAAAAATTATTTCTATATGTATTATGTAATAATCTGTATTGAATAAATATAATTGTATTCTATTCTATTCTGTTCTCTTCTATTCTACTACACCCATAGTATGAAATGCGACGATACATTATCTTGCGGCCGCCAACACATGACTACTGTATGGTTACACACTAGTGTCATTTACGAAACACTAAATTTAATTCTATTGAGATTGGAAGTATCAGCACCACTACACTAAAGAAACATCATCAGATGTAGAAGACTCTGCGGTGGCTTCACTTGAGCATGCCCCGCGTAGAAGCGAAATACGTGTCGAATTATCGATAGTGGTTTTTTCTTCTCTAGTGTAGTAGTGCTGGAATTAGTGGTGACAGGAATAGTGCATGCAATTCAGTGAGGGCGGGAGGTGCTTTTTAAATTAGGTAAAACACGTCATCTTATTAAATTGCGCGAATGTTAGCTAATTTAATTTTTTACCATTTTTAATGGATGTAGATGTCTGTGAGCCATAGAATTCACTAACATCAGGCAGAGTGTGTGCTCGTTTGTCGCACTTATTCTAAGAGAAACCGATGAATACCCTAGAACAAAACTAAAATGGTAAATCAACCAGGTAGTCTCAGAGACCAGCGAGTCAGTCAGAGAGTTTGAGGGGTACTACATATAGCGAAATATGACATGGTTGACTGATGATTAGCATTTAATATAAAGATAAAATAATTAAAATAAAATAGCATCTAACTTTTAATACATAACTATTACTTTATATGGTAAAATATAAATTCACTGTGAATATATTATGTTCCACGGCTAGGCACTCATTTCTGAGTGAATAGTGTGTATGATGACTAAAATAGACTTTATTTGATAAGGTAAATTTATTGAAATGGTCATGTATATAAAGACTAAATTTAAATAAATAAAACTGTATTTAAAGAAAATGCTTTATTTTATTTGCAACAAAAGTTTCATCGGCTTTGGCGTTTACTTCCATTGGCAGTTTAGATCATTCCTCTCGTGATAAGCTTATGCTTGTTATAAAATTATTTGTAGTGTTTCAGTATCATCAAGTTCTTATTACGTTTACAGTTCTTCTGCTGAACGTCTTTGTTCACAAAGTTTATAAGTATTGTTCAACTAGTGAAGTTTTGCTTCTTCTTCCTTTGACATCTGTGAGCTTGTCAGTGCTGGTTTCGTTTCCTCTGCGAACATAAATAAGTTATATATTCGTTTTCACCTCTTACCGTTCACTGCTAAACCTAGATTCCTTACTAAGTTACTTGCTGCCATAAATTTAAAACCAACTCCTTGCACTATTGCTGTTTTTCCAAATTAGCTGGATATTTTATGTTTGGCAATTGGGGTGTCCTAATTTAAAATATTCAGTCTAGTTATAGAGAGCTCCGTCAATGGTGCGAAACTGGCACGGCTATCGTGTGCCTTCTTCAAACCCTTCGTACAATTAGACAAATCTATGTCTAGCAGTGGAATTTCAAAGACTAATATAGAAAAAGAAGTTGTCAAATTTCAGGTTATGTAGTTTCGTAATTAAGTCTTTTGTGTACATAGGTTTCTAAAAATCTATTGGTTTCCGTATGCATATCTGTAACTGTCAAATATGAAGAACTTCGAATAAATTAGACGATTCTTAAAAAATAATAATCCCAACTCGTCTCGCTTTCTTATAAAGCAGAAACACACTGCTCCGTTAAACATTACAAGATTTAATTACCTTTAATCCACCGAATGAGAACAGTTTACTATTCTTTCCGTAATTTGGATAATTTCTTCCAAGGAAAATATTTTGTTCTCAGAGAGGTTTACATAATATATAAAGTTGTTTATTTGTATTGTACAAGTTAGTATTTTAAGGTTCTAAATCCCCAGAGTTCTATCGCAAATTCACAATTTTTTGGCCTCAATATGGTTTAAATGTATAAGTAATAAGGACAAATATCTTGATTAAATAAAAATATTTTTTCTTAATTTTAATATAACACAGCAATTTCATACTTTAAGCTCTAATACATATACCGGACACTATATTTTTAATTGTCGGAATTTAATACCTAATAAAAAAAATGATTCTATAACAAGGCGCATATAAGATCAGATGTTAAATTACGGCCTATGCAGTTGGTACTATCTGACAGTTTTTGAAAGTTACAAATGAATAAGGAAAAATTATAAGCACCTGGATCAGCGTCTTTCTTATCTTTGAAGTCAGGATGATCCCAATCCTCACGCTTTGATGTCCCAAATAACATAAATATGATGTTTGTAACGACACTCGCAGCCGCTATTATCAGGAAAACAATTCGCCATCTGCTTAGATCGGTCTGTAAAAAGAAATAATTTAATATGTAATGAATTTTTCTCCCTCTTGTATCTCTTACACAGAAAATTACAAATTTCTCAATTTTTGTTATCATGGAGCATATAAAACAATTTTGGTTAAAATTTTCTTTTGTACTTTCTATTACAGTCTATAAAAGTGCACCGCCAGTCTGCTGCTACACTACTACAGGCCTCTCCCATAGATTGCCTCATAGGGAGGATTTTGCTATTGTTGCCATGCTTGGCAGGCGGGTTGGCCAACTTTTTTATTATTTTGATTTGTTATCCGGAAGATGCTGCTGTGCATATCCTGTTTTCGTTTCCCTCAGTCGTCTTTTATGACACCCAGGGGACGAAATGGGGTAGTTAATCTTCTTACACCGCCACTACACGGTTTTGTATTTAACATAGAGAATTTTCAGAGTATACAAATAGTATAGTTATTTTAGTTGCATGTTTTTGTATAAAAGTATTACTTACAGGGTCATTATGTAAAATAAAACTGGTGACTATAGGTGTGAAAATGCTTCCTAAATTAGCAAAGGAGTTAGTCAAAGAGAGCATTACGCCGGCGAAGTTCGGAGACATATCCAGGAGACTCATCTGTGAAATGAATAATTAAATTAAATTTTCAAAATAAAATAAGAGTATAATAAATTATTTCCACCAAAAAATGACATATAATCTGTCACCACATCTTGGCTGGGTGTTGTAAATATGCAAAAATCCACGAAAATCTTATCTTCATCTTCTTTTTTAATTTATAACTTCTCCTGATAGAATTCTGCCGATATCAAGTCAGTCATAGAAATTAAAAGTAAATACTGATTATGTTAAGAGCTCTCAATCCTACGAGGGGATTGATAATCTACAAAACAGGAAACATCACATTTTCAAATATTGTCACCAAAATTGTTTAGTAAGGTTTTAATTTTAGTAATTATTAGTAAAATCGCATAACGTTTAAAATGGGAGTATGTACCAAGGACAGCAAAATAGGAAATTTACAGAGCGCGTGATATAATAGGGCAGAATTTTACAGAGAAAATGTGAAAGATTAAGGCATGACTGGCAGATCTTCGTCAGCAAAATCTCATGGCCATGAGATTTTGACTAAGAACTCATGAGATACAAACGAGCTAACACTACGTACATGTAAATGACTGGAACCTACAGGCACATTACAACCTTCAAACGATAAAGACTGCGCATGTTGTCTCTGCGGCATAAGATATATTGTAGTACGATCGGCTATCCATAACCTTGAGGAAGGAATACAGAAGTGGATACAATGCCGCTTGACGGTGAAAATAGGCAAGAATTGTATTTACCCAGGCAGCTTCCTAGGTGGATATATAGTACTATAATAGATGTAGTAATGCTATTGATACGAGGTATATATTTCCTGTCTCCAAATGAAACAGCAAAAAAATTTTTTCTTCTTTCTTATAAATTAATCGTCACCAATATCATCACGGTCAGCATATATAGCAAATTGCAAGATATTATGATGAAATTATTTAAAAAAAATATTTTATGTCAGTACTCGTAGTACTAGACTAGATATTAAAAAGAAAAAAGTTTGAGATCATTATTGGTCTTTTGTTGTAGTTAGAGGACTTACAACCAAAGTGGTCGGGTAGACTTCTGCTTCTTGGTCATTTAATTATATAATATAAAACATGTAGTAAAATAGATTTAGTATTTCATACCATAAACCCAGCTGTATAAAATCCATTCACAGTGAGAGTTGCTATCAATGTGATTACGGCCATGTTGTGGTGATCTGGCCCAATGAAGGACAAGGCACCCAAACCAATCGCCATACCGAAAAATCCTGAAAAAGGTATCACAACGGGAAGTTACATCATGTTACTATGTATCTAAAATCAAGTTACTTGATAATTCTTGGATTGCAATTTTTAATTAAATAAACGCAGTTAAAATTATTTATTATTATTAAAATTATTTTATTGCAAACTATAACCTCATGGTAGTTTATATCAAAATTGTGCATTTATTAAAATACAGAATTCCCATCATGACATCAATATTTTTCTTGCTATTCTGTCAATGCACATTATATATTTTTTTATTTATTTGTTTTAAAAGCAACACTTTACAGTAGTTGCACGGCATGCTTATACATGAATAGTTAGTTTACGCATTGAACATCGTTCAATGAGTGAACTCAGCTTGCACGTAAAGTAATGTTCTCTTGTACTATTACAATAAAGCATTTAAATCTGCATAATAATATTTTTTTTTATATATAGAAGAGGTGGCAAACGAGCATGCGGCTCACCTGATGTTAAGTTCCCCCCCCAGGAGGTTGTGGCGTTCCGTCGCCTTTCAAGAAGTAAGGACTTTTTTTTTGTGGGCCGTGTGGTTTCGGTCGCGAACCGCCGGTGTAACTTCCACATTGTACGCGGAAACTCCTTTTGAAACGTACTGTGGTGGACCGCCAAGCATCCAGATGGTGTGGATGGTATCGGGACGTTTGCCGCGTAGTGCGTTCACGAAATTTGGCGGCTGGGATTAATCCGAACAATTCCTCAGAGCACTCTCCATGGTATATGCGAAATAAAATGCAAAGAGATGCAACATCTCTTCGCAGTGCCAGTGAATCGAGCTGATCGGAAAGCACTCGGTCGTCGACGATTCGAGCCGTCAAGTGGAAGGAGCTGGTACTGGGGAGCCCCAGCGCAGAGATGGGAACAATATTCCATGTGCGGCCGAACCTGGGCCTTGTAAAGTCGCAGGTGGTGTGCCGGCATCAAATACTGTCCCGCTCTGCTGAGCACGCCAATTTGGCCTTCTCTTCCAAGTAACCACAAAACCGCACGTCACTCGATATGTCGACGTCGAGGATTCCGATACTGGCTGAGGCAACAAAGGGAGTGCCTTGAAACTGAGAAGATAAGACAAAGGGGTTCTTTTTAGCGGTTAACGCGCAAACTTGTGTCTTTTGAGGGTTAAACAAGACTAGATTTAGTCGCCCCCAATCCGAGACTTTGTTCAGCAAAGACTTGAATTCAGACACAAGTTTTTCCCGATACTCGGAGACGTTTTCTCATCTACATAGCAATGAATGTTACGGGTTTGCAACATATCATTGATATGCAGAAGAAACAGCGTTAGCGATAGCACGCAGCCTTGTGGAACACCAGCATTAATAGGCTTGCAATCGGAGCTTGCACCGTCTACAACGACCTTGATGCTCCGATCTGCAAGAAAGCTGGTGATCGAATCGCACAATTTCTCGGGAAGCCCATAGGAAGGGAGCTTCGAAAGAAGCGCTTTGTGCCAAACCCGATCGAAGGCCTTCGCAATGTCCAAACTAACAGCCAATGCCTCCCCCTTGGACTCTATTGCCTCCGCCCATCTATGAGTTAGGTAGACCAGAAGATCACCAGCTGACCGACCACGGCGAAAACCGTATTGGCGGTCACTAATCAGCTGGTGATCCTCAAGGTACCTCATGAGCTGACAGTTTACAATGGACTCCATTGTTTTGGAGAACAAGGAGGTGATGGCGATAGGCCGGTAGTTGGACGGGTAAATAAAAATAATACCTAAAAAATTAACAAACTGCGTACAAAATTAAAATTTAGATTGGTTTTAACTGCTGTTTGACGTTGATTATAAAGAGTATTCCATTGTTTAAAACTTTTTATATTTAAATTATATTAATTTACCTATAGAGTTAAAGAGTTTTCTACAAGTCCCAACAGAGAGTAATTTTCGGTTTAAGATTTTCTCCGATGCGGTGGCCGATATTATATTTCCGATCCACATGCCAATGTATGGTAGAGCTGACAGTGAAGCACTCTAAAAAGAATTGAGCTCGATTATTATAAAACGGAATAGTTAAATCATAATATATAATCAGAACATAATTATTTATTAGCAAAATATTCTAGTGTATTATATTTTATATCATATATTTTATTTCATTTACATTAGAATTTTAGATCTCTTATTACGTGAAATTAGTAAAAACCAGTAAAACGCGAGTCCATTTATTTTTATGACTAATTAACTAATTTAAAAATCACAACATTCAACGCATTTGGGTGCTGCAATAACGAATTTCGACTGACTTCATGTAGCATATCAATATTCTATGATTAGAATTTAAAATACCGTGTAGTAATCATAAATGGTTTTCAAATTATGATTTAGTTTAGTGATAGCATCATGTAGATTATCGATATCCGATTGCACATCGGATATCGATAATCTACACCGCTCCATTGGAAGACGTTTTCAAGCTACTGGACTGGAAAGAATACGGTATAACATCAATAACGAGTACATCACTCAACTTCGATTTGCCAACGATATAGTCCTTATGACAGAATCGCTGGAGCACTTAAGCACGATGCTCAATGACCTCAACAGTGTCACCCAATGGATAGATCTTAAAATGAACATGGACAAAACAAAGACCATGTTTAATGTCCGTGTCACACCTATCCCAGTAGTTGTTGGGAGCACTAAGCTCTAAGTTGTTGACGAGTACGTTTACCTGGTACAAATAGTCCGACTAGGTAAGTTCAACTTCGACCGAGAGGTCAATCGATGGATTCAACTCGGCTGGGCAGTGTTCGGGAAATTACGACACATCTTCTCGTCAGGTATACCTCAAAATCTGGAAACTAATTTGTACAACCAGTGCGTGTTGCCAGTGATGACCTACGGAACCGAGACGTGGTCCTTCACTGCTGGCCGTATGAGGACGCTCAAAGTCGCTCAGCGAGCTATGGAGAGGGCAATGCTCGGGGTTTCTCTGCGTGACAAACTTAGAAATGAGGATTTCTGCAGTAGAACAAGAGCGACCGACATAGCCCAACGGATTAGTAAGCTGAAGTGGCAATGGGTCGGCCATATAGCTCGAAGAACCGACAACAGTTAGGGAAAAAGTTTCTCAAGTGGCAGCCTCGTACCGGTAGTCGAAGTGTAGGGCGACCTTCCACTAGATGGAATGGATGGTAAGACATGCCGGTAGTCGATGGATGCAGGTGGCTCAGAACCGTGCTTTGTGGTATACCTTGGGCTATGTTTAGCAATGGACTTGTGAAGGGCTGTAATGATGATGATGCAAGTATCTTCTTCTAATGAAAATACGTCCTTAAAATGTTGATTGTCTATCGCTTAAAATGAAATCCTCAAAATCCTCTTTTTTGACTCTTTAAATATCAATTTAAGCATCAATTTTTAAAACAAAAATTATTACTCAAAACTAAATTTATAGACCTGCTCATAACTGCATTAATCCAGTGGCGGTGGTCTCAGAATGCATCTTCTCATTTCTTTCAGTAAGTATGTATAATGCAACTAAATAAAATGCAAAAGAGATCTCATGACATCGGATAAATGGAATTATATCCATCTAAGCCACAGTGTCATAACTTGCGGTGTATTATGGTGGTGATTGGCAGCTAGATTGAAAACAATCTTCTTCAAAATGAAACGCGGTGGTCGCCACCCGATCTGTTCAAGGAGACTATTATTTTTACAGTTTATTTTCGAGAATATCATTTAAGTAGGGAAAAATATTTTTTTTTTTTAAACAGACTGTCTCTTGGAGAACGTCGTGATTGTGGAGAAGTTTGTTCTTTAAGGTTCCTTAAAGATAGAAAGTCTTTTTCAATATAATCCATAAAATATCATAATAAATTCCAAAAAATATGCAACTATTTGATATAAATAAAAAAACACTTGTTAAGAGATTTAAAATGTTGACTGTTAAATAGTTAAATTTAGTTGGGGCAATGATGTGTAGAAATACTGCTTGTTTTGAATTTGCAATTCGTCTCCACTCGAGTCAGTCCACTGATACAATTTCTTTTGTTAATAATGTCGGTTATAAAATAAAAAAAATATTGACTTTACATTGTTTTAAGTTTTATATATTATAAATAAATTAGTTACACGCTTTAACAGACCCCACAGTATAGGCCGGTTTCAGAGCTCGACCGACCGTCGGTGCGTAAGTCGGTTGCGCTTGGCTTTTGTATGAAAATTCACAAGTCGTTACAGTGCTCGACCGACCGTACGCACGCGTATATAGCTACGCACTGCGTACGAGGACCGTCGGTCGAGCGTGTCCGCATGCGTTCTTTCGTTCGACCGACGCGCTATGGAAACATATTGACGCGTTCTGTGCTACACAGACCGTACGGATGCGTGTATCATCGTCAAGAAAATCAAACCTAAACTTAAATAATATTGTATGATTTTATAGGAATTAAGTAGTGTTAGTGATTTAAGTAATTTTTATCAAACATGGCATATGTCGACACCGAACACCTCGCGTGTTTTGTCTTGCAATTTCACTGACAATTCATTAAAACTTTTGATTGACATTCTAAAGTAATTAAAAAATATTTCTTCATCATCGCGCAATAATTAATATAAAGTAGTAAATTCCCCTTGAGGTGCTCTTTGGGCGACGATTTGGTAAACCTGATATCTACGTCTTTTGTTTCTTATACGTTTACGAACATAGTAAGCAGCAATTAAACAATTAACGCGTCCATTTCGTGTACGTGTTTGTGACTACAAGTACGGCCAGTTTCGTTGCTCAGGAAAGCTCTGAACGCTACAAATTGACGATCGGTTATGCGTATCGTCAGGACCGATGGTACGCACTGACGGTCGGTCGAGCTCTAAAACCGGCCTTACTGTTGGTTCTCTTTTGAGAAGATCTTATTTTTTCGAACCGGTGTGGATTTTAACGTTCACAAAAGCTTCAAACGAGCCTAAATTCAAAGAAATTTTAACGTTGACTTCAGTGGGACATGATAATATGTCTTTTCATAAAACCTCAACTTTTAGATACTTACATTTTTTAAAGATATGTGTAAACCTTTTTCTAAATATGTAGGCATTTCAACAAAAAAGAGCGTGTAACCGCACGTACACCCTATGTGCGTGATAGCTACTGCCCAAACCCCTTTGGACTTCAATATAAATCGCCATGGTGTGCTTAGTACCTGAAATAATTTATTTTGATTATTTTTTAAATTTTATTATGACGAATAAGTTGAGTGCTGTTATCTGATAGTAAGTACATGTTTTGAGCCTTATATACCAATACATATATAAATATAACTATACTTAGGTATATGTAACTGCCTCGTCGGCAGTTATAATGGCAGATATAAACGCGACTGCACATCATGGGGTCACAGGGTGGACTCCCGGGTCAAACCAAAATTGTTTATCACGGTTTTTTAATGTTTTTTTCACCTCCCCATATATTAGGATTTTACAAGGACAAAAATTCAGACCCGGGACAATTATTTGTAGGCCATTAAAATTATTGCTAAGCCGCTGCACCACGGATCCGATAAAAACCGTCCGTTTTCTGTCTAGGAAATCGTAGCAGCAGCCCAGAAGCACATTGTTGGAGGTGTGTCACACTCATACCTCGGAAAGCGTGTAAAGCTGTTGGTTCTTTACGGATATCTCTCAGATCGTATCGAATTGATGACTCATCGAACAATGAAAGTGCGGGAATAGAGAGTGCACCTGTTTGTTGTGTGTGAGTGCGCACTTGCTCGTGCAATCTATTCCTGCCGTGCGTAGATAGCTTATTAAGGTTGACGACAATGACAAAAATGTCGTCTGGACGACAATTTAATATACATTACAAGAGCATAAATTGCATTTAATTGTATGATTAGTCAAATAGCTCAAGAATCGAGTCCGAAAATTCCTAACTGCCTTATTACAAAATAGAGACGTGGTCAGAAGTACAGTCTAGTTGAAACCAAATTATCTGCCGACTTGCATTCCATTTTCAACTAAGAGGGGTTTCCAATGTAGCCCGGCGTCTATGCAATTTACGTTCGGTGCAATATCAGCGGCTGCTTGCAGGGCTTATAACTGAGGCAATATTTATTCTCAAACGTAATAAATGTCCAATACGTTCATAACAGAAGCATAGGCACTGAAGTGGTACAAAAAATTTCGCACTGTAGTCCTAACTTTAAATTTACTAAGAGAATCTAATTTAAAAGATTTCATCGCGTTTAATTTTAACTTCTTAATTTCCGACTTTACGGATGCTTTACTGCGCCCACCCTTACAGGTCACAGGGAGTTGGAAACTGAGTGTTTAATGAAAGATAGCCCGGCTATTTTCAGCTTTTGAATATAAATGTTTGTTGGGATCTACGCAGAACGAGCTTACTGTATTTTGAATTCTTGATGTTGCATGCTAGGGTTTGGATTTAATTTTCACATCCATGCATCCACATGCACCCATCTACGCCATATAAATTAGGACGTTTTTCAAATTCAATAGCCTCGCAAAACATCTTTAGTGGGAATCGGTGTTCTTTTGAAAAGATTTGTCGTCAATCAAATCTGATGTAATAGTGGGGACTATCTTGAACATGTTCACAGTCTGCAGACTTCTCGGAGCGACTGTGCTCACGTTAGCTTTACGTTCTTTTCGCGGGTTAAATTTATTATAAACTAGGGATCCACCTCGGCTTCTCCTGGATAGAGCCTATTAATGTGTCGTTATTCAGATTCAAAATAATTGACGACCATTTATTTTTTATCAATGTTTCGTATTATAAATAAATATAGTACAGGTCCCTGGCTCTTAGTTCGTAAAGTGTTATCACAATCGATTTAGTTATTCTGAAGATTAGCTTGGACAGAAAGACAGACCAATTTTTATTTTGAATGGTTATTTTAGTCTTAACATGAAAATATCTTCCAGAGATCAATAGAAGCCAGTTATTTCCACATTACTGAGAGACACTTTGATTTTTTATAGGAATACAAATAGGGTGACAAACGAGCACACAGTACACAGTCAGTATTCTCTAACAGCGTAGTCCTACCCGGTCGAAATGACCAATTCGTGCTACAACTATGATATAATTGCAGCGTGGCTCTACCACTTATGATGTGTAGATAGATTATACCTACTTTACGGATTTTCACCTGACTTTAAAAAGGAGGAGGTTCTCAATTCGACTGTATGTTTTTTCATATGTGGTTACCTCAGAACTTTTTTCCGGGTGAACTCATTTTGATGATTATTTTTTTTTTTAATTTGTTTTTAAAAGAAGAAAAAAGAACCCTTTTTTTCTGGGTTAAAAATAAATAATACAGTTAAAAGTTAGTAGATTAATATAACGAGTGATGGGGTGTGTATCGAGCCTGTGAAAAAGTTATGACTCAGCATAATGCTGCAGGGTATATATATATATATATATATATATATATATATATATATATATATATATATATATAAGTACATTAGAGATATGCACACATACGTACAAGACATATTATACACATAAATTCTATATAAAATAAAAAAGTAAAACTATTAAAATATTAAAATTTTAAAATACTCATACACACACACACACACACACACACACACACACACACACACACACACACACACACACACACAAACAAACAAGGTATATAGTACATTGATAATATTCTCATTTTATTCATGTAGGAGTCGGTTGTACAAAATTTTTCAATTGATCGCCTTTGTTGTATTTAATTTTTACTTATTTTTTAACTTTCAATGTTTTTAGTAAATATAAGGTTCTTTATAACTGGGGACGGGATGCTTGACGTTTAATCAAAGCTACAATCAATGTTGAAACATAACTTAAAATTTAAGTATAAATTTTAAATTTAACGCGATAAAATCCGTTAAGTTACTCTTATTAAACGTGTTAAATGTGTGTTCTCATAAATATGTTATTGTTAGCCTATAAAACTAATGTACAAAACCGTCCACCTTATATTATTGCCTCACACGGGGAGTATTTTCTATAGTGTGCCAAGCTTGGCAACTACAATTCTTGAAGTGAAAACTTTTCTGGAATCGTGATTTGAAATTCTATGAAACGAATAAGTGACACTAATGATAGACATACTCTACAGGATTTAACCTGTGAAAGAATGAGATAGAATATAGTATTCGCAATTCCCATGAAACCCATGTAAAATCTCAGGGAGGAAGGACTGCCTGAAAACTAACGCTTCATGGGATCTTAGTCCCGGGTAACAAAATCTGAGTGACCTCCGATGTTCTAAATTTAATTAAGATTAATTAATTAGCTTATATGTAATTTTTTTTTCAGATGGTTTACAACCAGATGCTAAAAAAGACGTGACAAGGCTTATAGTATTCAGTCGATGGATTTAAGTTTCCAAAGAGCCCAGGACTGAGTTTTACGACAATCTGTGATAAAAGCCTATATTGTAATAGGTTTGAATGATGATGTATTCATCATACTTAAAATGGCCAAGGTGATCACGTTATTCAACCTACCTTTCCACCGGAAGTATTAAGACCTCTTTCGATATACTCCTTTTCAGCTTCAGTCATAAGTCGATGTTCTCTTGGTGTACTTGCTGAGAAGAAGTACCACACAGCACTCATTGTGAACATCAACCCTGATATTGAATAGAAGATCAACTTCCAACCTATAGCTGTCTCCGCTAAAAGCCCCGACAAGGGCATCGCTATTATTGTGCCTATTTGAGTACCTGCAATAAAAAAATATTTGCAGGAGTCCGCGCCAGTAGATATCATCATCGTATTTTTAAAGAAAAAAACGGCCAAGAGCGTGTCGGGCCACGCTCAGTGTAGGGTTCCGTAGTTTCCCGTCCGTCACATTAAGTGTTCCCACTTATGAGTTTAAAGGTGGGTATCCATTATGTTCGCGCTCCAGCAGCGCTCCGCGCTCCTGCAACTGCACCCGGTAGTGTTGTTTCCGGGTATTGTTGTTTCCATCAAAGTTCAAAATAATTTTCCTAGAAAGTCCTTATAAAGTTCTACTTTTCAGATTTTTTTCATATTTTCTAAACTTATGGTTCAAAAGTTAGAGGGGGGGGGGGACACATTGTTTTATACTTTTGGAGCGATTATTTCCGAAATTATTGACATTAACAAAAAATGATTTTAGTAAACCCCTATTCATTTTTAAATACCTTTCCAACAATATATGACACGTTAGGGTTGAAATAAAAAAAAATCACTTCCCACTTTACATATAGGGGGCTACCCTAATAAAACATTTTTTTTCCAATTTTTATTTTACCACTTTGTCATGATTGATACACATATCGGTACCAAATTTCAGCTTTCTAGTGCTAACGGTCGCAGAGATAAGTGAGGACGGACAGACGGACAGACAGACATGGCGAAACTATAAGGGTTCCTAGTTGACTACGGAACCCTAAAAAGTGTAAGAAACGAGCACCCACACAGTCGACTTGATGGTAAGTGGATATCTTCGCCCATAGAAATTTACATTTCTCCTCGATTAAGAACTAAAATGCAGGTGCGTTTTCTATCCCTGAGGAATTAGATGGAATGCCTCGTTTCCAGTAAAAAGGATCTCATGTTCTATACTTAACCGCGTGAAACACAACAGCAACAACCATAAGTAGCTGCAACATCGCTCTAACACGTGTAAAACTTTAAGCTATTTCTGCCGCCCAGGAGCGATGTATGAAGGCTTATTGAATTAAATAAAATACAACTTCATCATTATCATTACAGCCCTTCACAAGTCCGCTGCTGAACATAGGCCTCCCCCAAGTAATGCCACAAAGCACGGTCCTGAGCCACCTGCATCCATCGACTTCCTGCATATCTTACCAGGTCGGCATTCCATCTAGTGGGGGTCGCCTTACGCCTACCGGTACGAGGCTGCCACTCGAGAACCTTTCTTCCCCATCGGTAATCGGTTCTTCGAGCTATATGGCCGGTCCATTGCCACTTCAGCTTACTAATCCGTTGGGCTATGTCGGTCACTCTGGTTTTACTGCGGATATCCTCATTTCTGAGTCTATCACGCCAATACAACTTATTGGGAAGTAATTATCTGTATTGCTATGTTGAAAAATTAGCCCTCTCCCTTCCCATCCGATAGTAATCGAAGCTCAGGGAATCCATGATAACGTGTATCACCCCTCCTCAATTTCTCCTTTTTTCCATGATACAGGCCGGGGTTTGGCGTAAGAATCGAATTTATACTACATCTCTTGGTGGTGTAACCAACACTTGTTATTTTTCACAAAGTAGACAAATTTTTAAAATTATTTTGTGCGTGCTGTTATACGTAGACATTAGATTTTGATTATAATTTAATTTAGGTCCGTAGACAACCGAGCAGGTTTGAAGATGGAAACACCGCCGTGGCCAAACTGCTCCACTGCAATACTCACTGAACCTTAGGACTAAGTCAACACTATTAAGAAGCAATGCAACACTAAGGCTAACAAATACAGGGTATAACAGTGCACAGTTAAATCATTTAAAATAATGAGATATTACGCATTTTGATTGAAATGACAGAATGTTTAAGATATTTTTAATTAACTTTTCTTCACCATTTACCTATATGACTTATTCTATATCTTCTCTGAAAATTTGGCCGATTATTGCAAAATATACCACTTGACGGTAGCCGCAGGTTTAATTGTTTTAAATAATCCTTATTCATCTGTTAATAATGTTATATCTTATTTTATTATTATGTTTATTTTAATTTCTCGAGGGGTTTTAAAATATTACTTTTATTTTTTAAACGTTTCCCATACATTAGGACTTTCTCCTACATCAGGGAGGCAGTTTACATACACATATCTCCCAAAGACAAATATCCAGACATTACAACAAAATTACCATTATAGCCTATCAAAAAATCTTCTGCTGAAGGCAGGCCTATAGACTATTACTAGCCCATAGATTGCTTCGTAGGGGAGGTATTTGCCCTAGTCGCCACTCTTTTGCAAGCGGGCAGTTTTTCTTATATTTGTCTGTTATCAGGACGATGTTATTTTCCATCTTGTTTACTTTTCCTCTGTCGACTCTTTTGAACCACGAGATAATAAAGAGTAGTGATTCTTACACAGTCGCTACATGATTAAAAACACGGTTCAAAATTAGTTATACCAGCCATTATAGCAAAATATCCGAAAATTTACCTCCGTAAACAATCCCCGTTATAGCTGTCCGCTCATGGTCCGGCAACCAACGCCCAAGTAGCGTATGAGTGGTCGGGAACAAACACGCTTGTGTGAGACCCATCAATACTCGGCAAGCGCACACAATCTGCCATCCACCCTGTAAAATTTAATTAAAAAAAAACAAATAAATTTATAAGTATAATGAATATATAGGTTGCCTCCACATTTTAACAAATGTGTATACAAAAAAAGTAGTTAGTTTCAATAAAATAATATCAGCTTTAACCCTTAAATTCATAGTGTTGGATGCAGTCTACGTAATATTCTGATGGCTGTATCTAGTAAGCCTATGCCTAAAAAAAAACAAATCTCGTTGTATTGTGTCGGCGACATACTAGTTTTTCTATTGTCATGTTGGCAAAACGTAAATGTCACTTGAATTTAAAATTGACAGCTGAAATTTTTTTGGTGAGGACCGGTAACAAAAAGTTTGTTGGCGAAGTTAACGTGTAAACAGATTTTGTTGGATTTTTCAAGGCAAGTGATGCTATTTTATTTGTATTTGTTGTAGTATTGGAGTAGAAATCGCATTTCGAATCTGCAATATATAAGAAAATTCAGATTTCTTGAAGTCTGCGCAATCCGAATTATAATATTTAATTAAAAACATATATACATACATAAAAGTTAAGGCGTTCAAACGAAAACGTGTGTAAAAACAATATAGTGTATATAATTGTTTTTTTATATTTAATATAGATTATGAATGTAATATATATCTGTATTAAAACTATATTAAAAAAATATTTGAAACAGATAAGCCCAAAAATCCTTGACTGATTTTAAAAATTCTTACACTTATAGGTAGCTGTATCATTGAGGAACATGGGCTATATTTTATTTAAAAAAAATTGGAATCCCTTAATTCCAATTTTAACCCTAAGTTCAATATATAACATATTATATAATTTATGTTGCCAATAAAGTCATTACTTGGCCTGCGCTTCGAAAACTATTAATGGTAGAATAAAATAACGTACAAGGCGTTTGATGAATTTATCAGTAACAAGACTACAAAAAAATCCGCCAGACAATATGACCAACTATTATAGTTAAGTCAAAATGACAGTTTTTGTGTTCTAAATATGGCTATAATATGGTTACATTTTCATCACTTTAATAACCCTTATCCAGAAAACTATTTTATAATCAAGGTTGTTTGTGTACATGTAAATTTATTTTGAAATTATTCGAATCAAGAAGAAGAAGTCTTCCGTCAAGAAGTTACTTAGCTTAGAATGAAAAAATATCAAAAATAAAGAAAACTGACACGTTCTTCTTTCGGTTTGTAAAAACTATCATCTCGTTAAGCAGCTGTCTGACAATAATATTAACTAATTTTTCTATTTATATTTCTTACCAAGTCGACGAGTGAAGGGAGAACGCCGCATACGATGCCACTCGCCAATAATGCTACAAGTAAAATGGGCTTTCCTCCAAATCTTTTTGCCAATAGCCCTCCTGGAATCTGCATCACCATGTACCCCCAAAAGAATGACGACAGGATTAAACCCTGTGTTTTCTTATCCCAGTCATATATCTGTAAAGCAAATACGTTTGTATGATATCAAACTAATTTAGATTAAAAAAAATCTTAAAATTACTTAACAGGCGGGAAAACCGGATTATATTTCCATCGGCGCCCATAAAATTAACTTCAATTTAAAAGTGCTTTTTTGCCCGGCGGTATAGGAAAATATGTCATATAGTCAGGTAAAAATTATTGAACAACTTAGTTGTAGCCTGACGGAATATAAAAGTGACACAACGAAGAAGTTTTGTTCATACCATTTCTGTAACATTTAATTTGTTTGTTTTATTTTATCCTATAAATAACTTTTGTCACTCAGTTTTAAAAGCGAAATTATCAGTATATCTAAATATTTATTCAGAGTTCTCAATATTGTGATACAAAATTCAAAGTCTAAATCACTTAGTCACTTCAGTACTTGACTTATTGTAACGGTAATTTAGGTATCTTGTTTTAAATGCGTTATTTTATATTATTTTAAAGTAATGTAGCAGTATAGTTAATAAAGCTTTCTTGTCATTAATTTGGATGTGAGGACTAGTATATTTCTTGATATCTAAAATAGTCCGAAAAATGTAAATGTAGATGAAAATGTTCTAATGGTAAATACGTTCCATTTTTTTATAAACCCGTAGTCGGGTATCAAAAATGCAAACTTACAATATATCTAAGTAGAGCACGTTGTGCTCGTTTTAGTTTTGGTAATTATGTTGTGCTTTACCTGCCTCACACTATAAACTTATGCAGCTGGGTATTCTCCAAGTGCTTTCTTACTTACCTGCAATAAAATGATATTAATATATTATAACAAAACTTCGACTGCCTCGTTGGTCTAGTAGTTGTAGTGGCGCGACTACCGATCATGAGGTCCTGGGTTTGAATCCCGGGTCGGGCGAAAAAATTAATTATTGAGTTTTGTTCGTCAAGATATTCTCAATAGCTGCCCGGAGTCAGGAAGTTGGCGGTATATCACCCCCGTGCTTCGGAAGGCACGTAAAGCCGTTGTTCCTGCTCCTGATCTCTATCCGGTCGTGTCGGTTTACCGTCCCATCGGAATATGAGAGTGATGGAATAGAGAGTGCACGTGTGCTTGAGCATACACTTGGGCACTATAATCCTGTCCTGCGCCGATGGCTCGTCTCCGTTGAGGCTGGCCACCGTGGCCGAAATTCGGTCTGGAGGACATTATAACTAAACTTCTATAAGTAGTAGAACAATGCTGCAGATATTTTTTGGTTGTAGCTGGATGACACCTTCCGAATATAGTTTGATAGCGTATGCTGTTGTTGGAAGAGATTTTTGGGGTGGCCTTTTGAGTAGATGCCTGGTCGTAGTGTCAACTTATTAAACGAAAAAAAAAGAAAATCTGCATAACATACCGTAACTCGCGTGTCATTTTTCCGAGTAACGTCGGTCATGGCTAGAACTGCCACTGCCATGCTGCTTCGCGCTATGAACAACGCTATTATGCATAAACACATACATATTGCTTGCAAATGCCTTATACCGAACCCGTAATCTGAAAAAAGGTTATTGAAATTATTTGGGTAGTGCTAGGCCGCAGGCTTGCTTTTGTGTCAAAATAGAGGAGTTACTATATTCACAGGAGAAGCGTTTACCGATTTCTTAGAAACGGTTGATTAACTATGATATATGTAATGAAAAATTCACCCCTAAGGATGGCTTAACAGGCAGGGATAAACAGGAACTTAAATATTTTTACGACATTCTATTTTTAACTTTGAACTTGTTGAAGATCGTTATTTTAACACTATCATTCCTGAGTGCGTTAAACATGAAAAGTTGCGAAAAGTATAAAAGCCTAAATCACGCTATCAAAGTTCTGACGTACTGCGGTATAGACGTACTAGCTCTGAACTACCACACGGAGCGTTAGCCACTCCACGTGTTGATCACTTTCATGGGGGGATACCTATTTTTCCTTCCTCCGCAAAACCGTATATTTAATGTTCGTGATTAATTGTACTCAAAATTAAATATTTATTTTAAGATAGGTAATTTAAATCATTGATCAAATTAATAAAAAAAACTGTGTTTGACATTCTATAATATTAAACAGAAATTTTGTAATTCTTGTTTAAAATTTTAAAAAACGCGGTTGCCGACCCGTCCGACAAGCTCGGCAACTATGGCAAAGTCTTACGTATGATGCAATCTATAGGCGTACCTTATGTTCAGCACTGGACTTTTATAAGCTGTAATGTTACGATTTTTTCACTTGTTTAGGAGCATATTATAAATACCATCCACTCATACCAAATGTATCAAAATGTGTAGAGAGTGTATGTTAGAGAATGTAAACGTGTTATACAACGTTATTAACCTGATAAGTAAGAGAATCAAAATCAACAGACTTATCATCAATAATAAAGTGGTTATAGGCCTCCTCAAAAAGCACCGAAATAGCCCTTAAGCTTCAAACCAACCTAATAAAACAGCAATTCATAAAACTTATCAATACAATATCTTTGTCGCCTTGGTAGAACTATTGTTCTACGCAGATAAAAGCTTAGCTACTGCTAAGTGTTTGTCTGCGTGTCATGGGTATGATAAATGATATAAGGGTATGATCCCTTTTTATGTAAGGAAAACTATAATTCGAGTCTGGGTGTATGCACATATCTTATTTATGTGCGTTTGACCACTATTATATATTTTGGAGTTAATTAGGTTCTGTACTTAGTTGTAGAAATTCTTTTCTGCCAAGGGGTCCATCTGGGTAGGTCTGGTACCACCCTTCGCTTCTTACCCACTTTTGCAGGAACACAGCAGTGCGTGCATTGCTGTATTTCGGTCTGAAGGATATGAGAGCCAGTTTAATTACAACGACATACACATTCAAAGGGGACAATGCGTCTGTAGCCTTATTTGTAAAGTTCAAAGTGTCTATAGAATTCTCTAACCATATGGACTTTAAGTTCGTTCATGTCACACTACAGTTTAATTTAAAAAAAAAAAAAACATGATTTTCAGTAAAAATCAGCACTACAGCAACATAGACTCCTTAATCACACTAACTTAATACTTACAAAAATATAATATAAGGTAAAACAAATTGTTAATAGTAAAATAAAGTAAGTATACATTACGTTTTTCGGAAATATGTTCGGAAATCATTTCAAATTTTTTCTTCTTACTTTTTGTGAACTTCTTTTTTTACACCTTACACTACCGCGATCCCTAATAGAATAAAATAATTATTACCCATAATCTGCCAAAGTAGCATTACCTAATACAAATACATAAATATAACAAACTATCATGCGTCCGATAATAAACTTTAGGACCTATAACTGAAAGCTCATATTTCTGCAAAGTATCCTATTTATCATTGACGTAATAAAATGTGTAGATGCGACGCTTCTTTATCCTATAACAAACATGTGTAAATTGGGATTACTTTATATTTATATTAACTTTATAATTAATTTAAAAATAGTCAGCACAATATTTTATTTTGTTCTTTTTTCTTGTTCTACAAAAACTTGATAGTATGATGTCTATTAAAAAAACGGTTATCGCATTCCTAAATAGTTCAACGTTATTTATACTATCAAGTTTAAGAATATTTCAACAAAAACGAATAAAGCAATGAACTTTTAGACGCTGCCTGCTCTGCCACGGTATTTTAATAAAAATAAAGTGACAAACAAACTTACGATTCACCAGTTGGCAAGTGGCACTGTTGGTAAGGACGAGTTATGTCGGACCGACACCGACTGAAACTCCATGCTGTTCCATCTGTAATCGCATATTGGTAGGGCCTCTGGAACGGTTTTGCACATGCCACGACTCCACCAGCGCCGGCAATCTCATAGCGAGGCCTGGGGAGGACTACTCTTCTCTCTTTTACTTCTCAGGTAAGGTGTACCAGAACACTAAATGTGGTTCCAAAATCAAGCACCCTGTAGTACCAATCTGACTTGACCCCAGGATACTTAACAAAACATACTTTGTATAATAATAATTACGGAGTAATAACTGTTTTGTTCACGCTTCCCGTAAAGTTTTCTTATTTATTACATGAATCACATAAGTTATCGATAACACCCAAATAGACTCAGGTTAGTCAATTGAACCACCGAAAGCTCGCCCTTCGATATATAACGCAATGGTTAAACCACACCTGCAATTCTCCTAGTGTTGCGGTTGATCATGGGTAGCGGTCGTCACTTAACATCAGGTAAGCCGCATGCTCTTTAACTTGCAACTTCTTTTTAATTTAATTCTGCCAGATAACATCTGGCCATATATCTGTGATATATCTGTGACAGAAAACATCTGGCCGCCGAGCTTCAGCATGTCAAGCAAGTATTGCAAGACAACAAGCTTCGGGTCCCGAAGAAAATCCCGAAGAATGATACGCGAGGCTATTGAAATTATAAAACATCCAAATTTCAATAGAGAAGATGGATGGGTGTTGCCAGCTGCTTGGAATCCTATAATTTACAAAATTAAACCCAAACCCAAGCATACCACTGCAAGACTTCATGATACTATAAGCTCATTTTG